CATGCCAATTAAAAATAATAATTTTTTTTATTAATTATACCACTGCCTTTGAACATGAATGTCTCATGTTCGAATCCATTAATTAGAACCTAAACAACAAAAAGTAAACTTATATCATCATTATAAAAAATTGTAATAAATATTTATTTTACATAAAAAAATTATGTTATCAGTAAACTACAAATTTGATGGTCCCTTTCTATGCAAATTCTTTTTTACTTTTAATAAATTGTCACTTTCACATATAATGGCCTTATGATTGGAGTTATTTGTAGAATTGAGAATGGAGTAAATGGGTGCATCTATCCAAGTAACCAAACCCAAACGGACAAAAAAGAGGCCAGAGAGGCAGAGCAGGAGGAGAAGTAACAATCACCGGAGTGGGAAGCTCCTCCGTTAACCCATCCCTTCTTCTCATCCCTTTCCCCCCCAAACAAAAACAATCAAAACACACTGCCAGGCTGCCAGCCCTCCTCCGCGGTATGGAGGCGCAATACGTGGTCGTTTCCAAAACGCACGTTTTGCCAATAGATTCCTTCTTCTTTCTCTTTTCAAACTTTCTATCCCTCGGCTCTCTTTAATGGGCCGATATTGGTCCGTAGCAGTGCCTTATCCGGCCCAAACTCAGCGCGTGAAGCCTCAGTCTCAACCTTAACCAGCGCGTGGTTTCTTGTGGGAATTGGGCTCTCTCTCTCCGCCAATTGTAGGTCATCCACTTGGTGACTTCCTCTACTACTCTCCTACCTTCCTTTGTCTGCTACCTCTAGACCTGATAAATTATAACTCGACCCGTTGATCCGAAACTGCTCGAAAACTAAAAAATTTTGTAACCCTAAATCCGAATTACCCGAACCCGATAACCCGTGATTTTTTGGGTCGGATTGGGTGGGTTAGCTGGTCGACCCGTTAGACTCGTTCTATTTAATATATTACTCCCAAAATATAATAAAATCACTCATAAATTGGTGAGATGTTTTAAAAAAATCACAAATATTTGAATGACATGTTTGGAGTTTAAGGATAATCAAATATCATGTGTTTCTTGTAGTAGTATTACTCTTGTGATTGTTTTTTGACGATTTGCACAATTTATATTTCATTTCATTAGCGTGGAAGGATTTGAGAATATGTTAATTGACATGTGTTACGTAAACTATTGTCATGCATATGTGAAAATTTGTGTTCTTTAAGAAAATATGAAGCATGTTTGATATTGTTTCTGAGAACGCTCATAATCCGAAATGACCTGTAACCCGACCCGAAACCGAATGGGTTGGGTCAATATTTGACCTCAAATAAGCCAATCAGTTATGACCCGACCCGTAACCAAAGTTCCCAACTCGTAATTATCCAACCCAACCAGATTGCCGGGTCTAGCTACCTCCTCTCTTTCAATTCGTAAATCGATCCTCAAAGCCCTAATCTGCTTTTCTTGTTTTTGGGAGGTAAAATGTTGGTACTTATTAGACATTTAAGTCTCCCTCATAATTGAACAAGTGAGGAAACGAATATATGGTTGTTTTGGATAAGATACTATGATGAGCTATTTTGATTCAAATTATTTATAAGTTTTTTCTTTCAAAATGTAATCCAAATTAGAAGTAAAATGATTCAATATTACCGCCCGTAGAGTTAGACTCATAGGCTTAATTGTATATTTATGAATTCAGAGTGCAAATTGACATAATTCAGACAATACAATGTATGTCCATCTAGAATGCAACATATTGATTTTGCATTGCATAAACATGCTTTCGGTATTGAAGAAATTGTTCACCCTTATAATTTGGTTCAGTCCATTGCCGAACATTTTAGTAAGGGGTCGTTTGGATGGGTTAATTGAGAATGTGGTATTTGTGAGATCAAATAACTCATTTTCTTTATATGTGGTATTTGTGTGTTATTTGATAAATTTTAAAGTAAAAATGTCTTGTTTGGATGAAAGAAAGTTGTGAGTTATTTGTATTTGGTATTTGGTACTATTAAATGAGAAAATACTATATTGTTCTCAAAATAAACTCCTCCGTCTACACAAATCCAATCCCCACAACCATGTCCTCAAATTGTCTTTGATTGGGTGTCCAGATTTGATTAGAGATCTAATCAAGACCACAACATAATCGTTCAAAGAAAGGAAGACTCATACACAGATCTACACATAATATAATACGCCGAAGGGAAAAACGGGAGCCCCATTTCAAATTTCCTGCAACGAGAGTGAAAGTAGGAAGGACATTTTGGTCTTCACAATACATTTTTTTTATTCATTAAAAAGACACGTACTGGGATTCAAACCATGACCATTTTAGAGAAAAGTAAGGATAATAACCAATCACACTAAGCACATTTGTTGTATCTTTTTAAATTAAAAATATATAATAGCAAGGAGGAAAAAACCCTTCCCCCATTTCAAATTCCCTGCTCCATGAGCGTTTGTAGGAAGGGTAGAATAGTGAGTGTCAATTATTTTTCTCTTTCCTCTGTGGAACGGGCCAACTTACCGTACACATGTGAATTTAAACGGGTCCAGGAGTGTCAATTTTTTTTCTTTAAGCCCTTTTATTTCTCCGTGGTGACAAAATATATATGAAAAGGTAAAAATAATACTCCTTTTTATTGTTAAAAATAAAATATTTAACAATAAACTAATGCATGGTATCTAATGGGCTAACCGCCAACCATAAAATAAAAGAGTTGAATGTGCCTGACCTACATGGGATTTGGCCATCAAGTAAAATAAATGAACATCATTGGTTTGTCATTCTAAAATAAGCTAATTTCTCTGACATAATATATATTATGCTATTATTTTATATCTTAGTGGCTAAAATATAATGTATTTTAAAGTTATTCAATGGTTTAACCTCGACCAACACAATTAGTCCAATTTTTATCATTTCAAATATATATTTTATAATTATTTGATATCATAATGATCAAATTATATTGTATTTTATAGGGAATCGTTTGGTATTTGTTAGTAAAAAAATTAAACATAAAGATCTATTTGGTTATTTTAAACATTATAACGATCCTAAACATTTTCAGTTCCTTTTGCATATCTATGGTTTTATTCCCGAATAAGTGATGTGCAAATGGCGAATTGTAGTCGTCTCTTTTCTTTCACTATTTTTTATTTTCAAATAGAAAGTTTAAAAGTAAAGAATAATTAGAATTTGGCATGGGTCGTCAAACAGGCTGAATTTCAAGTTTTGGCCCGTTTGTTTTATGCATTGCAAATTTATTAGCATTTTGATGGAAATGGCTTGGAAAAAAGACATATAAGTTGTACCTTTGCAGAAATGTCCTCAAATGTTTTAATGCTTTGTGAATCAGGTTCCGTGACTTTTGTGATGGTGTATGTGCTTGACAATTGCTCGATGTTGTAACGCTTAATTTGAGAGTAAATCTTTTGATTTTCCCTATGAGTTGTGATACCAGTTCTGGTGGTTGCAGCATGTTGTCGTTGTTGGCCTGTAAAAGTTATTCCGCCGTGGTGCTAAATACCTTTCTTTCCTTTTTAACAAATTGTGTAGTAGTGCTATGAAACAGACCACCCATGAACGCTACGCTTATTATGGTCTGTTCTTACTTGCGGTGGTGAGAAATTGTGAATTGAGAATCATATTCGCCTACCGCACTGTGTCTGCCTGGTGGCTACTTACTCTCTAGAGTTATGAAACAGACTACCCATGAACGTTTCCCTTAGAGTCCATAACTTTTGAGAAAAACCAAATTTAGGCAATCAAAGGTGGTGGATGTGTGATGATTTTTTATGGCTTAATTGTTTGTGAATTGGATATTTGATCTTTGTATGATTGGAGGGGATGTTTGCTTAATAGAATAATCCATTTTAATTCATGTTTATTTTTAACATGAACTTTAGTAACTCAAAACCTTCGAGACACATATCACCTACTGCATTGTATCATTTTGCATGGGTGCTTGCTGTGTTGTCAAACTTCTTTGTTGCTGCTGCTGCTTTTACACTAACAGGGGAGTTAAGAACCCATGAATGTTTCCGTTTGACACAAACAGGAGGACTTGCTTCTAAATCGTGCACTAAAGATGATTGGAGGAAACATCTCTATTGCAGTTGATATACTGGAGACCAGAACAAAAGCAATGTATAACATCAAAACCAACCATCTGAACTATTAGCATTGTTGCTTTACTATTTTTTTGTGGTTGAGTCTCCTTCAAAAAATTTAGTTTGATTTTAGAAAATTTTGCTTCTGCAGTCCTGTCTTGCCACCAACGCGTTCAGTAGATGGAGATGGCAGAGGCGAAGGTTATTTTTGTGTTGTTGTTGCTGGTTTAGGGATCGGTTTGTGAAGAAGAGGGAGAAGAGAAGGGGAAAGGGAAATGCAGGAGAGGGGGGTAACTCTTTTCTCTGACAAAAATGGAGTGAAGAAAGGAATTATGATCAGTAAGGATATGGTTATCTTACATAACGGTCTCTATTCTGTTTGAATTGAGCTTGGGAGGCAGTGATAAGGACGAGCTGCAACCAATTCATAGTGAGAAGAGAGCTATGAACTGTGATCATGTCTTATTTCAAGTTAGAAGGTAGTTTCAGTATAAGGATTATTTAATTTGACAAGTTGTTTCGTCCATGATTCTTGGTAGTTTCAGTGCCATTCTAGCCATTGTTTAGTCTGTAATTTTTGAGAATTGATGTGCGAGTAATGACTTTCACTTAGCTTCAACTATTATGTGTGTATTTATTGGCATGTGATAGAAATCTCTTTTCCTTTTCTTTGAATTCAATTTCATACTCTAATTGTATCATTTGTACATAGGCAAATCATGCTCGAGATGACAACTCGCTGATAAGGCTGGTGCAAGGAACGGAGCCATCATTAGAATTCAGACCGACAACGGGGAGGGATGCCCAGGACTAATTCAATGATGATTGATGATGGTATAATAAAAACTGCAGTCTGCATCAACACCAATTTCTAGGCCTAAGTAAAGTTATTCAACCCAGAACTCTGCTTAGCGCTAAAAATTTCCCTCACCCAACCTTGATCCTGTTTGACCCACTTCTGAAGAGTCAAGATATATGAATATGACTAATCCTCTCCGTTCGTATTTTCTTATTGACTCTTTCTGACCCTTTAGGTTGGGGCGGGTCGGGAAGAATCGGATTAGTGGGTCGGTCCTAATCAAGTGGAATCTCAATCCCTTCACTCTCACTTGTTTTCTCTCCTATTCCACAAGTGGGTAACATACAGTAATCCGGCCAACGGGCCGGGTAATAGGCTAGTTAGGTTTAAGTTGAATAAAAATTGAGAAGACCCACAGGAGAATTCTTTGCTTTTAGATCCACCGCTCACAAGTGGGTAACATACAGTAATCCGGCCAACGGGCCGGGTAATAGGCTAGTTAGGTTTAAGTTGAATAAAAATTGAGAAGACCCACAGGAGAATTCTTTGCTTTTAGATCCACCGCTCTGCCAGCGCATCCAACGCCGAATCCCTCTCTCCACCACCACCTGCCCAGCTTCCCTTCAACCTTCGACCCAGACCGATCGCATCCCACGGTTCACATCCTTAACCCAAATCATGACATAGACCACGATCCAAATCCCCAATCTAAATCGTGACTGGAGCTCCCAGCAGCGGCGAGAGATAGAACGACGATGAATTCTTGCCCGTTGCATCTTCTCTTCTCCCCAACCCGCGCGCATGCATCCCCAAATCGAAACCCAATTTAGATGATAGCACTCGCTTCACAGCTCTACTGAACCTCAATTCTTGCCTCCTTCGACCAACCACCACAGCTTTTGAAACTTCTATCGTCGCATGTGAATCCGGTCGCCTTTGTGTACTCCGCCGACAAACCCCTCTTCCTTGCGATTCGAAAGAAACCCAACTTTCGTATATGCTATGGAAAGCTAAAATTCTCAATTTCATAATTGTTGTCGACAAGGAGCTAAAGGATGGAAGGTGGAAGCTAGAAATTAAGAGAAGGAACAGAGAGGGAGAAGAAGAGGTAATGGAGTCATCTGTGAGAGAGGAGCAAAGGAAGAAAGAGACAGGGGCAGCGTGGGAAGAGAAAGTAAGCAGAATACGTTATTTGTAGAGGTGTTATTTACAATAACTCATTTTTGTATTATTTCAAAATAACTCATCTTTAAATAATCCATTCCACCAATTCGAATCCAAACGAGTTATTTTGGTCCAAATAACTCTTTGTGAGTTATTTTGGTCCAAATAACTCGTTGTGAGTTATTTGGGTCAAAATAACTCATCCAAATCACCCATCCAAACGACCCCAAAAGGTTAATATTCCAAGTCAAAACTGAATCATAGATACTTTTTAAGCAGAAAAAATCTTTCTTCAAATATATATTTAATAGTAGAGAAAATAATCATATAAACTTTTTTATGTTTGTTGTTGGCCCCAAAAGTTAAATACCGATGTAGTCGATGTTTTTTTTTTTGTTATAGGTATAATATGCCCCTTTAATATGTCGTTTTATCAAACATGCCCCTCTACAATTTTTTACATCAAACATGCACTTGTACTTTAGAAAGATGATCAAACATGCCCTTCTGTTAATATTTTCATCCAAAAACAGTCAATCATGGTCGTACCTTGGTTTGGGCGACACAAATGTCTAAAATTTCCTTGGTAATTTCACTTAAAAAAATTTTGGGTTCGTTTGTAGAGCCAAATACCTCTAATAATTTCACTTAAAGATATCTAGAAAAATAAAATGGGGAACAAAACTGACATTTTCGCTCTCATTTGTTGATGTCGGGTCATTTACATCTCGGTTCAACCATGGTTGGCGATTTTTTTAATATAAATTTTAACAAAAGAACATGTTTGATCATTTTTTCAAAGTACAAAAGCATGTTTAATAAAACTACATAGTAGAGGGGCATATTATACCTATAACTTTTTTTGGTAGGAATGTAGTAGATGTTTTCAACTAACATTACCCCAACCCTCACTATAATCACACAGATTCAACTTGTATTTGTTTGTAATTTTGTATTGAACCCGATTTTTGTACTCACGTCACGTGTTCCACTTCCAAGCATAGAAAATATCAAGAAAGTAAAGGCTCTCATTATCTACCCTTAAAATCAATTAATTATTTTTCCTAAAAAAATCAATTAATTATTTGATTAATCCAAGTATCCACTATCCCCGTTCATTCACTCGAAATTCATTCAGGAAAAAAAAAATTTCATTCAGAAAAAAACTGAAAAAGAATTCGCAGTTGTCACTCTGCTACTCCCCCATTTCCTTCCCTTTATAAAAAACCCCACTGCCCTCCCCACCACCATCTCCTCCTCCAAATTCATCTCCCACCCAAACAATCACAAACCAGACACCAAACCCAATACAGCCATGGGGTCTCTCAGATCTTCTTCTGCGATGCTACTCCTACTCTGCTTCGCCTTCACCCTCTCTTCCGCTCTGGACATGTCCATAGTCTCCTACGACCTAACCCACCCGGACGCCGATTCCAGCTGGAGGACCGACGACGAGGTGATGACGATCTACGAGGACTGGCTGGCCAAGCACGGCAAGTCCTACAACGCGCTCGGAGAGAAGGAGAGGCGCTTCCAGATCTTCAAAGACAACCTCCGTTTCATCGACGGCCACAACTCCTTGAACCAGTCCTACACCGTCGGCCTCAACAAGTTCGCCGATCTCACCAACGACGAGTACCGCTCCAAGTACCTCGGAGTCCGCGGAGGCCAGGGGAAGCCGCTTCGCGAGCCCAAGCCTTCCGATCGGTACGCGCCGCGCGTCGGCGAGTCCCTCCCTGACTCCATCGACTGGAGGGAGAAAGGCGCCGTCGCCGAAGTCAAGGACCAAGGCGGCTGCGGTAAGTCGGAGATTCCATTCCATTCCAATCCGAGATTTTCTTCGCTCTTTGATTGAATTAATCGCCGTCGATTTCTTCCTGTCTAGACCGATTTATGAATAAATTTAGGCAATCGATCTTAATTAGTTCTGGAATCTGGATTGAATCGGATTTTTGTGAACTTTCCGCTTTGGGAGTTGCTCTTGTAATTTAGCAGTCCAATTTAGAGCTGGGCGACTCAGTGAGTCACTGAGTTTGAACAGCAGAAAGCAGAGTGTCAGTCGTTGACCCGCCGGCGAGACCGGCGGAGACGCATAGACGGCATAGTGGCGTGTAACAATCGGAGTCCCGGGAATCCGGGATAAGATTTATATTTTTTATTTAATTAATTTGTTGATCCAGATTCGAAATTATTGTGTATGGGTTGTTGTGGCCCAATGGGTGAAAAGGATGGATTTTTTTATTATAAATCGTGATTCCCTAAAAGTCTGGTGAGTGGGCCCCACTTTCGGGCGAGACTGGCCCACCAGTTTCCTATCAGCTTTTTAAGGCCCATTAAAATATCTCCACCTGCAGCTGTCCTTTGTCTAATCCTACTCAATTATCACTTGATCACTTTGGACGTAATGGGTTACGAAAAGTTAGAAATATTTAATACTTGATTAGCGCTTGATTAATTGAGAGATTGTTTGGTGATGGTGAAACAGGAAGCTGCTGGGCGTTCTCTACGGTGGCCTCCGTGGAAGGAATCAACCAGATCGTAACAGGGGATCTCATCACCCTCTCGGAGCAAGAGCTTGTAGACTGTGATACTTCCTACAATGAAGGATGCAACGGAGGACTTATGGACTATGCATTCCAGTTCATCATCAAGAACGGTGGTATTGACACCGACGTGGACTACCCTTACACAGGATACGACGGCAGATGCGACTCTTACAGGGTACTACTGCCCCACCTTCTCCGTGTTCTTTACCTTGTTCTATTGCAGTGATTACTTAGTCATTTTGTGACACCTTCACTCACACTTTCGTATTCATGTCCCACAGAAAAACAATGCCAAGGTGGTTTCGATTGATAACTATGAGGATGTTCCCATCAACGACGAGGCCGCCTTGCAGAAGGCTGCTGCAAGCCAACCCATCGCCGTCGCCATTGAAGCTGGTGGCAGAGGCTTCCAGTTCTACACTTCGGTGAGCCCTTCTCTTACACCTTGCCATTTCTTATTCTAAAGTTTCGAAATTTTGCGAGCTAAACATTGCTCTGTGTCAATTCAGCGATGCAATTCAACATCTTCCATGATTAAGTTCATTCAAATAAATGTGTTGTACTTTTACCTCACAGGGAATATTCAGCGGGCCATGCGGAACCCAACTGGATCACGGAGTGGGAGTAGTGGGATATGGATCCGAGGGAGGGAAGGATTACTGGATCGTCAGGAACTCATGGGGCAAAAGCTGGGGAGAGAGCGGGTACTTGAGAATGGAGAGGAACATCGCCGCGAAGACTGGGCTGTGTGGCATTGCGATGGAGCCTTCTTACCCTATCAAGAACGGCCAGAACCCACCGAACCCTGGTCCATCCCCACCAACTCCAGTCACTCCTCCCAGCGTCTGCGACGATTACTATTCGTGCCCCGCCAGTGAAACCTGCTGCTGCATCTTCGAGTTCGGTAAGTACTGTTTCGAATGGGGATGCTGCCCTCTAGATGGCGCCACATGCTGCGAGGATCACTACAGCTGCTGCCCGCATGAGTACCCTGTCTGCAATGTCAACCAGGGCACCTGCATGATGGTAAAACAAAAAGCCTTAAATCCCAACCAACCCTATGTTCTTTTGCAACTTGTTTCCTTCTTTGAGCTCCTTATAATGTGTGGTTTTTGTGTATGATGCAGAGCGCAAACAACCCATTGGCGGTGAAGGCGATGAAGAGCAACAGGGCCAAGCCTCGGTTTCCTCTTGAGGCTCTTCTTGGCAGGAAGAGCAAGGCTTAAGCTGCAAGTTTAGTGGAGCTTTTCCACTCACATCAATGGTGGAATAGTGGAAACTTGGAGAAGGGGTTGAGGCATTGTGCTGCAGCAGTGGTGTGGCTCTCCTCTATACCTTTTGGTTTCTTCTTGCTCTGCTTCGCATTTGAATTTCAGTGATTGGGGGAAGATGGGATGTTGGGTTTGATTCGCAGATACACTGGTTTATGTAAATAATGGCAACCCCTGTACTGTAGTAATTAATGTTAAATGGTTGGGATTTGGTTTAACAGGAGATACTAATCAGGCGCTTCCAGATAAATTATCTTCTCGTTGATTTGTACATGCCTGTGGGAACTAGTCAAATGATACACTCTGCTGTAATTTCTCCAAATCAATCAATATCAGCTCTTCTGCTTTTCATCTTTTCTTGTCGGTACTTGCTACTTAGTCACATTTGAATTGCTCTTGCATTATTTAGGATTGCTTCAGGATTAAGGCATCTTAGTAATGTATGGAAGTTACCAAGGCTACTAATACTATATATATATATATATATATATATATATATATATCTCTTATTGTCTGGTGGAGGAGATAACTTAATAACATAGAACTCAATTATTCATTGTTCTGTCCTGTTCGATTGATCCATTTAGATATTTTCTAGGATTCACAACTGTAGCCTTGCATATGAGAAGGATAGAGCAAACGACCACCAATTTTGGTTAACCCTACCACCATGGATGAAAAAAGATACCATCACATTGAACTGCTTTATCTCCCATATGGGATATTATTGCACAGTTTCACAAATATTACTCATAATAACTAGAGTACTAGATTGCCTACTTGTTTATTAACAAGATGTAAGTAGAAAACCATACACAAAAACACTTCAACAAAGTCTCACTCACACCCACTTACTAGACAGCTGGTTGCATCATTTAGATATGGCTGGAGAAGCCAATGTTTACTGGATATCAGCAGCATCGATCACCCTCATCTTCGAACTTGACCTTCTTGTTAGTTTTGCTATGGCTGTAGCTATTTAAAACTGCTCCATCTCCAGTGGTTTGGATATATGGGGAAGGAAGCTTTGACAGGAGAGCTCCAAAGCTGCAAGTGTACATGGTGGTGGGCAAGAGAGGCGGTATGGAGAACGTGCATTGCTCTTGAGCTCCTCCATTTTGTGACTTCGCGAGGAAATCATTAGCCATTCTTTCATCAAACACTCTCTTCATTCCAATCATTTTGCTGTGCTTATCGTCGGCCACAGGAAGAAGAGCCAGTTCATGTAAGGTTGGTCTTTGTATGGCAAGTAATGCCCCTGGTAATGGTATGCTGTGGAGATAACTGAACTTCCTTTGAATGCTAGTCACTATATTGAGGTCTTCCATGATCTAGTCAGTCATGAAGATACAAGACAAAAAAGATTGGTTAGGGAGTTTTTTGGATGGAGGAATGTGAAACTCCATAGAATGCTCAAGATTTTAGGCAGAGTAAAAAAGGTGGGAAGTAATGAGACTGGAAAGTTGAGACCTTATCAAAGGAGCCTAACTGAATGATGCCTTCTCTGACTGAAATGATGGCAATTGTCTGTTTCAGTCAGGAAAAGAGTTTGTTTAGTAAACAACTTAAATAATTGCCTCTTAAACCAATTTGATAATTTCCAACAAACCAACCAACCAACCTGAATGCCTGAATTGAACTGGCTTTCCCATGCTCTGGGTTGCTATATATGACACAGTTGGAAATTTGGTTAGTCTAAGTTTCAAGCAGTTATAATTTGAAACAGTTGATGAAAATGGTAAACTCTTACAGTTTCAGTGGTCAAGCTGTATGAAGAGAGGACACTCGGATCAAGCTCATTGGTTGATTCACAGAACACCCATTTGTGACTCTTATCTGCTGCAACTTTCCCTACTAATCTGCAACCATTTTGCACAGCTTTTGTTAGAACAATCCCTGAATGAAAAGCTTTTGATAGGGTGTTTGCTGCCAAAGAATGGTGGAGGGCCACTCACTCACCCTTCTCCATAGCTGTAGACCTCATGAGACAATTTGAAGAAGACATCAGCTCCAAACTTACCATTCATGCGCCCACCTCCAACCCTCTGATCACATTCAAGGAAATCGCAGAACCCATCTTCCCAGACAAGGATCCTTGGTCAAGCAGAAACCAAAGATGAAAGCTTTTCAGTCAAATCTCAAGAGGTGTCTTTCTTTTTCATTACTGACAAGTTATTACAATACATTACCAGTTCCTTTTGTTTGCTTTGGAGCGACCAAAAGCTATTCCATCATAATCCCACCTGAAACCAACCAAAACAGGTGCGGTGCTGCTTAACACCAACATAAAACCCAAACCACAAGAAGTTTTGATGATTGACATGTAAACTTTGTTACTTGGGAGGAGGGTAGTTCCTAGGCAGTATTCTCCAGAAAACAGCATAAGCCCATTTGGGGGAGCTGCTGGCTGAGTTAGAATCTGATGATGGTGGGTATGAACACAAGCTCCTCAACGTGTACTGCAGAAGACAGTTGAGCATTGGAAATCCACCTTCCATTCTCAATATCAGTTGGAGAGAGAGAGAAGAAAAAGGGTGCAATGCAACTAAAACTCACTTGGCAGGGAATATAAAGGGCAGGAGCACCACTGTGACAGTTTAAACATGATGGAAAGCTGTGTTCTTAACAAGAATCAAATCTAAATGTGGATTATAGGATTGAAGTCAATATTAGGGAATGTCATTAATCGGCCAAACAAACTTGCCCGACTTCACATAAATCATTCATGGGTCATGGCCTACTGTGGTTGGTTTGTTTTGTATTTGCTCATACAACTTGATGATGGACCATTGGACCGGTGTCTCTATCCCACTTTGTGCCCCCCTTTGCCAATGTCCATTCCCTCCCTCTGCGGTCCTGACGTAGTTGGTCATCACTCAGGGATTGTATTATTGTAGACAGACTCACAACTTTGTGACCAATCCCTCTGAATTTATCCACAACATATTCTCATTTTGTATGGCATCTGATAGATTCCTTAGGATACTCACTCCAGTACGTAGTCTTCTACATCTCTACACGATATGTTAATCTGAAATGGTAACATCAATTCTCGTTTTCAAATTTTCAAGCTTGACAGGGAATTAGGGAAGCCCCTTCAGTAAAAATTATATGTGTTGGTTACGACTATTATTTGGGTCCAAATAAAAATTTCAGCGGACAATCGATAAAGTATTCCCCTCTATCTCTCCAAAGCAACGGAATAATATAACGCCTTTCACATCGACTATTGATATGACTTGAATCGGACTATCTGGTGACGACTGTAACCATATTTTTTACCACATTGGATTAGGGTTAGACCACATGGAGAACTACTATAAATACTTCTAATACTCTTCTATAATCTGCATCTACTCAAAGTATAGTGAAACTGGCTCTCTCCTGCCCGTGGACTAGCTAACACACCATGTTAGTGAGCCACATAAATTCGTGTGTCTTGTTTCATTTCTTGCTTTGTTGATCCTCCAATTTTCCAATCCGGAGAAACAATAATGACAAGTGGTATCAGAGCGTAGCAGTTGGAAATCAAGTGAGGGTTTCGAGATTGAAGAATGTTAGTGAATATGAAGATCAAAAGGTCACGTGGAAGAACAGTTTCGATATATGGCCGATCAAGATACAGGCGCTATTGAAACAACAAGGGATGTGGGGACCGTTGTCCAGAAAATCGAAGAAGACATGGGTCGATGACGATAAGTGGAGTACCCTAGAGGAGAAGGCCAGCTCGACCATCATATTATTTTTGTTTGATGAAGTCAGCATTGAAGTCGTTGTTGAGAAGACTGTTGTTGGCTTGTGGTTGAAGGTGGAAAGTCTGTATATGATAAAGTCCTTAACCAACAAGTTGCATCTCAAGCAACAATTATTCATATTGAGGATGCAAGAAGGTACGCTTTTGAGGAAAATGCGGAACAACTTAATTCCATCTTGTTAGATTGCGTAACATCGATGTCCATTGATGATAAATATGCTACCCTAATCCGACTTGTTTCTTTGCTGAGTTCATATGAGAATTTTATGGATTTTTTTATTGTTGGTAAATATAGCTTGTTGTTGGAAGATGTCAGATATGCTCTTCGTAGGAGAGAGATCACGCATAAGGCATTCGGGGTCTAGTATAGGTGGTGAAGCATCAGTGTTGGCTGTTACAGGTGGAAAGGGAAAGAATAAATCTAGTAGAGGGAATTCAAACATGAACTCGAATTCTAAGGTCCCCGTCCACAGTCAAGCAATGCATGTCACATCTAGAAAGAAGTGCTACATTGGAAGTACAATTATCAAAGAAGAAAAGGGGAAACAGAAGAATCAAGGGTCAATTGTCGTGGTAGAAGTAGACAATAGTTCTGAAGACAATCTGCCTTGGCTATAGATGGGAAGACACATCGTGGTGATGTGTGATTTCTTGATACTCCAGTCTCATATTATATGACTCCGACCAAGGATTGTTTTTCAACCTACGAGCAGATAGATGGTGGTGACGTGGTTAGGGCCAATGGAGCTGTTTGCAAAGAGGTTAGAATCGGCTCTATCAAGGTTCGGAAAAATGATGGTTCATTTTGTACCATGAACGATATCAGACTTGTTTCACAAATAACAAAGAATCTTATCTCTTTAAGTCTTCTCGACCACAAGGGTCTCAGTTTCAAGGGAAATTGTGGAGTTGTGTATGTCTCCAAAGGTTCAAGGAAAGTATTGAAAGGCGTGAAGCGTGTCGCCTTGTATGCATTATAAGGGTCTGTGTTGTCATGTTCTGGTACAATTGCATCATCTCATGTTCATCAAGAAGGTATGACTACTCTCTGGCACATGAGTCTGGGTCATATGAACGGGGAGATCTTCTTTGCGGGCAGAAGGTGCAGAGTTTGGAATTCTGTGAGCATTTTATGTTTGGGAAACTATATCGTAGTAAGTTTCCTAAGAAGAGTATCCACTGGACGAGACACCGCCAATAGATGCATTAAGCATCGCCAATAACCAGGCTTAGCACCTCCCTCCCAGAGAGCTAGGCATATAGCCACCAATCCAATATATATAGTGCATGAAAAGGCGCCCTTATGTTTAATTTAGGTGATCACATAATCTTTCTTTCGTTAGTGACGTATCAAATGTCAGTCATAAGCAACTAATAAATTGTAAATCATATCATCATGGTTTCACTATTTCATATAACCAAATTATCGCCTTTCGGCTTCCCATTTCATATTCTCCCCTTATTGGCAACCAATAAATTATAAATCATATCATCATGGTTTCACTATTTCATATAAGCAAATTATTTCCTTTCGGCTTCCCATTTCATATTCTCCCCTTATAGGCTTTCCATTCCATATTCTCTTCTTATATGCTACCAATTCGATGTTCTCACCTCATAGGCTTCCCATTTACTATTTAATCGCATTTATAAGCTATTCCAAATCACACAATCGCCTCACGGCTTTTCAATACCATATTATAACATGTTAACCTATCCCAAATTATGTCACATCCATAAATACTATCCAATACCATATCATCACGTACCATATACCCCTAATACCATATCATCACGTACCATATACCCCTTATTAGAATTTTATAACTACCAATCACAAAATCAACTCATTATTACAAATCATTCCATTTCCTTATAACAAAGCATTACCGAATCAAATTTCAATTCCATCACATTCCATAACTCCTTTATGTCATTCATCACATCATATAAGCAATCCATTCATCACACTATCCGAATATCATCCTTAATCCCATCTCCCGTAATCCTATAAATCGTATTCGGACCGCTTCATGGCCCGAATATCATATTCATATGGTTAATAGGTTAGAATTTACTCGCTGTTTGATCGCTGATTCGCAAGTCCTTTGCCCTTTGAGGACTCTAGGCTTGATTCTTCCCTTTTATCAACATTATAAACACACATTTAATCATTTAGAGCAAGCATGATAGTCATATAATTGCATATGGGGTCAAGATGCGCGGGTTTTGTGTCAAAACATGTGTTTCTGGCCAAACAAAGTAAAACAAGGTCAAATGCCTGAAAAACACGATCGACACTCCAAACACACAGTAATTTTATCCTGTCCGTGTTTTCTTTTCAGTCCTCATAAGTGAAAATGCGACCATTTTGACCAAAAACGAGGTCGAATTTGCAGCCCGTGTAATTTACCCCCTTCCAAAGTTTTGGCCATTTCTCGCTCAATTTTTAACCAAATTGATTGATTATTTTTTCTAATTAAACTAGATTCACAGGTCTACAACATATCAATATTTCATGCCATTTGGGCAAGTGGTTTGGATTTGACATTCAATTCAAGTTGCATGACCAAACCAGATTTTGAACAAGTGGCTTTGGAATTTACACAACCTTTTACTTAATTTGAGTCTTGTACACCATAGTTTAAACCTCTTATCCATCATTCAACCTTCCAAATCTACGAATCTAATCAATTTCTGGGTGCATTCTCTTCACAACCGTCATTTTAAACATGCGATTTATGTCAAAATGATGTCAATCATCACTTATGATGTGATCGCCAATAACGCATATGAATTTGCACAAAAACCATTAAAGATTTACTTTAAATGGAAAGATTTAGAGTAGAGATTTAGGGTTAGGGTTTACAATTTGGGATTTAGGGATAGAATTCAAAATTGGAGGTCTAGGGCTTAGGGTAATCCGCTAAGTTGTTATTATATGTTATATCATCAAATTACACTAATTCTACAAATCAAAATTCAAAATCTGACGCCTTAAAACTAGTTTTTGAGTTGGGTGCATTGAACGCACTCATTTTTGTGAGTGCACCGAAGTAGCCACCATATATATATATATATATATATATATATATATATATATATATATATATATATATATATATATGGAAAAGGCTAGCGTACACCTGTCGTACCTTATACGTCTGTGTTCACACTAGAAAATTAATTATTTAAATATTTAACTTTAATTATTAGTACATTAGTTATTAATAATAATTCGCATTACAACCACATCCATTAACTAATTGTTGTTTAAGTTGTAGTCCACCTAAATCTCCAGCAGAACTCTCCACTATTGCCCCAAAAACAAGAAGAAGTCGACGTACACCAGGCTTTCCCACTACTTACAATCCTCCTCGGCCGCCAGTCGCCGCCGATGATCTTAACTATAAGAAAGCACATTCTGGTGCTAATTGTTCATTTTGACGTTGCGGTGCCGCCACTCTCCTCGACTTGCTCGTCCTGTTTGTGGTGGTCGCCGGAGGTGGGTTTGCGCCAGATAGATGGGTATGATATGTGACTACCTGTACGATGGGGAAACAATAAAGAATTTCAATTCATGAGAATGTTGGACTAGTTTCACCTTCTACGATACAATCCCAGAGCTCCCTGATCCTCCGCCTCTAATCGCCCAGAAAACCTCTTTCACCGCTGCCTTTCTATTCACAATCCTGCTGTGAACATCCATGCAGCAACAATCGATTGTACTTTCTGACTAGAGACCCGAAACCTGCCTTTGCCAAAGTGTTCACTAATTGGCAGCGTGAGGTAGAGGCTGCCGAGAATGCTAGGTGGATACTCTGTTTTGCAATCACATAGTTTAAGCTCTCCAAGCCAGCATCATGCTTTGAACCAACGACGTCTCTTTCTTGACGAAATTCCTGTGTAATGGTGGGCGCAGCTGCAGACTCTTATCCGAATCCTATATTCCTTGCTGCAGAATCGCGCAGGTTGGATTTAGTTCTCGTCGGAAGGATGAAAATGAGGAATGGCTTGGATTTGGAGTTTAAGTATCTGAGGTTTTGGACTCTCGAGTCCTAAAGGAACGAGAATAGAGAAGATTGAGGATGGATACATGATGTCAATTTTGTTTAATTTCATGCTCTGTATTTCATAAATGAAAGTTTCTCTCTCTACTCTCTAGGTTTCAGAACTTGTTGCTTCAACTGTGAAGAAGACGATCAAACTAGTCTTGCTAATTAAGCTTTGATAATTTGACTGTAATGGGTTTATTGGCCCACTTTGAACAAACTTGAAGCCAAAATAGCAAAGGCCACATTCTTACGATGGTAAAGAATATTTGGGACTAAATTGTATCGAAAATTAAATCCATAGATTTTATCGCAATTTTATTTTGTCAATTATTGTTTAAATTATAATTAATTAAAGATAATAACAAGTGTGAACATAGGCATACAGTGTACGTCAGGTGTACGCTAGCCTGAACCATATATATATAGCTTTCGTTTACTTCATTACTCACATCTTCAATACAAGTCTCCTTACATGGTTTCAACTAACAAACATCATTTCCTCCTTTGATCCTAGGGTTCTTGGCCTAAAATATTTGTTGAGAAAGAAAAGAAGAATAACACCATGTCATCTTACCTCTCCAATAGTTTCTCCCCTTTATCCTTTGCCTCTAACCTGGTTCCTAATTCCTCCTACGTACCCCTTGCTGGCACCTCAGGAACCCTAGGAGCAATGCAGTAAAAAACGTGATTCTACCTAGAAGTGGAAAATGGGTAAAATCGTAAATGTAGAATTAAAGCGTAAAAGCGTAAGTTTTTTACACATACTGTCAAATAACTAAAAATCTGTTAAGTAGAACACATACTATGTAAAATATGAGTGCATAGAATTTACATAAGTTAATAAATATCTGTAATTTCGCGTCTAAAGTAGAGCAACTCACAGCATCTTAACAATAAGTTCATAAACATACATCTTAACAATAAGCCACCTTCCCCTTTATGCTAATGAATTTGGGAAGGACCTAGCCGGTGAATTATATTATTCTATTGAAACTAAGAATGCATCCAACTACCGTGTATGTATCTTTTAATCTCAAATGTATTATATTGTTGGTGATTTACCTTAAAAATATAGTTTTTATAATTAATTTCATGAAAAGAATACACATTTAGTGAACTAAAAGCAGTAAACATAGCGTGCTACCTCATCAACTATGGACCTGAGATAGGTATTGAGTGTGAAATTCCTTATGTGGTATGGTCTGGTAAGCTTGTTGATTACTCTTTACTGAAAGTTTTTGTCATCCTATTTACTAGCATGTGGATGACGGTAAACTGAATCCAAGAGCAAAGAAGGGTGTATTTGTGGGTTTCAAAGATGGATTTATGGGATATCAAGTCTGGTCACCTTCTAAGCACAAAGTTGTACTTAGTAGGAACGTGATATTTGATGAAAAATCTATGTTTAAACCCATGTTGAAGGTTATTGTTGTTGAGGATAGTATCAATGTTGATAAACAGGTGGAGCTGCAAAATCTCAGAGAGAGTGAGTTTGAGCACCAAGGTGGAGAAGATCAACATGAGAATGTTTATGATGAACCAGAAACTTCAGAGTTTAGTGCACGAGCTCAATAGTCTATAGCTTCCAATAGGACGAAGAGAGCAAATGGGGGAGTACCTCCCCAAAGGTATGGCTTTAAGGATGTGGGGGCGTATGTTTTTCAGGTGGTTGAAGAAGTGGATGCGGGTGAACCACAATCCTACAAAAAAGCCATTTCATTGGCAAAGCTGCTTAGTGGCTTGCTGCAATTGGAGTAGAGATGGAATCCCTTGACACGAATCAGACTTAGGACTTGGTCAAATGACAACAGGGAAGGAAGATTATTATAAATAAGTGGATCTACAAGAAGAAGTAAGCAATGAAATCTGAAGAGGGCATTAAATTTAAAGCTCGGTTAGTGACAAGAGGCTTCACGCATAAGGAAGGAATTGATTACATTGATATTTTCTCACCGGTGGTCAGACAAACTTTGATTAGGGTGTTACTAGCAATAGTGGCACATCATGACTTGAAACTCGAGCAACCAGATGTGAATATAGCTTTTCTACATGAAGAGCTGGGAGACGAAATTTATATGACTCAATAAGATGGTTTCCAGGTTCTAGGAAAAAAGACTATGTTTGTTAGTTGAAGAAGTCATTGTATAGATTTAAGAAATCTCTAAAGCAGTGGTACAAGAGGTTTTATAGTTACATGCTTGAGCTGCGCTACAACAGAAGGCCTTTTGTTTGTTGTGTGTATCACACTAAGACTGAGAATGGTTCAATGATTTACCTGGTTAAGTATGCAGATGATATGCTCATGGCTGCGAAATCAAAGTCTGTATCTAGAGTTAAAGGGGCTTCTCAGTTCTAAGTTTTAGATGGAGGATTTGAGAACTACTCAAAAGATTTTGGGTATGGAGATGTACATGGCTAGGGAGAAGAAGCTCTTCTTGTCACATAAGAGCTACATCCAGAAGATATTGTCCAGGTTTGTCATGTCTTCAACAAATCCTTGCATACTCCTATTTAGGGGTGGGCAACGGGAAACGGGTATTTGGGTATACCCGTACCCGTCCCATTTTTTAAGGGTTACGGGTACCCATATTACCCGTAATATTTTAAACGGATGGGACTTGGGATTGTACAATCCTAATATGGGTACCCGCGAATACCCGTTTGGGTAATATGGGTACCCGTTGTACCCATTCAAATTACAAAGACATATAATTCAGCCCATGCACCCAGGCCCAACCCAATTCAAAATCCATTAAAATTACAAAATCCATTTAATTCAGCCCGTGAGAGTTGAGACGCTGACGCACCCCTAGGTCCTAGAAGACGCGAGACACGCGACGGCAGGCGGCAGCTTCTCTGGAATTTGGAAAGGTCTGTCTCTGTCTTGTGTCTTTGGGTTGTAGGAATTGGTGTAAGTTGCTACTTGTAGCAGCCATTTTGTGTTTTGAAATGAATGCTTTGGATGTAATTGACTAATTGTCTTTAGGTAAAATGTCATTTAAACTTTGGGTATTTATGGGTAGTATGGGTACCCGTTATCTGTCCCGTACGGGTAATGGGTACCCGTTTCCCATATGGGTTTGGGATATGGGATGGACTTTGGTCTCCAAATGGGACTAGGTACCCGTTTAAAACGGGACAGGTATCCCGTCTCGTCCCGTTGCCCACCCCTACTCCTATTGCTTCAAATATTCATCTATCCTTAGTTTATGCACCACAGGCAGAGGTTGAGAAGGAGTGCATGTCGAGAGTCTCACATGCTAGTCCAGAAGTTAGTCTGATGCAATGCAGTCAAAAGCACGATTCTATCTAGAAGCGGAAAAGGGGTAAAATCATAAAGCGTAGAATCAAATCATAAAATCGTAAGTTTTGTACGCATACTGTATAATAACTAAAATATGTTAAGTATGACATATACTATGTAAAATATGAGTACACATGATTTAGACAAGTTAATAAATATCTGCAATTCATGTCTAAAGAAGAGTGATGACTTGATATATACACATGTTTTTGTCCATTCTTATGTCGTTTGAGCCTCATTTCTCGTATCTTAGGCCGATTTCACGCTAGGTTGTTCTCGTTTGTGTTATCTCAGGTCCTAGTACGTGATTAGAGGTTTGGGAACGAGCTCGGGGTCGATTGGACGAAGGTTGGACGTTTGGCGAGAAGCTGAGGAAACCACACGGCCGTGTGGTTTGGCCGTGTGGAATTCCATTACGCGGGCAAGACCACACAGGCCGTGTACTGGGTCCCTTGAGGCCATGTGGAAATTCCAGGGATGCCACACGGGCAAGCCAGTTTTCTACACGGTCGTGCAGCTCTGGTCGTGTAGCATTCGTAGAGGCACTTAATTAAAACATTGTGTTTTGGCGCTCACACGGGCAGACTGGGATACCACACGGCCGTGTGGTCGGGACATTCTGGGTTTTAACCCAATTTCGGGTCTTTTGGAGAGGGATCGAGTTTTTGAGCAAAAAATAGAGCTTTAGAGAGAGAAAGTGCAAGAACAAACCCTAGGAGCTATTTGGAGTGGATTTCTCACCATTGAAGCCCAGATTGCATCCCCAGGAGTGAAGATCGACATCCCAAAGCATATTATCCTCATCTTTATGAGTATGACTACTCTGATTTCTGTTTTCCTCTCTCTCTCTCTCTCTCTCTCTCTCTCTCTCTATGGAGTAGAACCTTCTCTCACTTGGGTAAAGAACCCTAGTTCCATGTGTTAGGAATCTTGATTGTAATGACTTGGGATTGATATACTGATTGATTTTAATCGATTGATGCATGTTTCATTGAGTCAATTGAAGCCTGATCATCTTTTCTTGATTTCTGCTACAACCTGAGATAGATAGAATCTGATTAGGTTGTTAGAGCTTCATCAATCGGTAGTGGTAGATTGGTTATACGAGAGTTAATCAATTTACTGCTTTGTACTGGAATCTAATTCCAGTAGTGGAGTTGTGTGTTTATTGCCTCAGCAGTCTATCCCGATGAAGGCTAGTCGCCTGCCGGTTAGTCTGCCTGAGAGGGCTTGGTCAGCTTAAGAGATTCCAAGCTACTGTCGGATCTTCCGCAGTTTAATCAACAGTTAATCAACCCAGGGTAATTACAACCTTGACCTAACTAAGGAGCTATGGGGACTTATTCCCGAGTGACTCTTCCCTTGCTAAAAAACTTTGAGTCATTTCCTGCTTTCTTACTGCTTTTACTTAAAATCACAATCACTCGACTTAGTTTGCTAGATAATAGATAATCATGGAGTAGGTAGTAGATCTAGACCCCGGGTTGACAAATAGAGCTTGCCACTTTACTGCATTTCCGGACTGCGATTACACTTGGTCGCAGTTTGGCGTTGTGTTTTAGCGTGCCATAGAGCAACTTATAGCATCTTAACAATAAGTTCGTAAACATAGATCTTAACAATAAGCCATCTTCCCTTTAATGCTAATGAATTTGGGAAGGGCTTAGCTGGTGAATTAGATTACTCTATTGAAGCTGAGAATGCATCCAAGTACCTGGTATTTATCTTTTAATATCAAATGTATCATATTGTTGGTGATTCACCTATAAAATATACATTTTATAATTAATTTAATGAAAAGAATACTCATTTAATGAACTAAAAGTATAAAACATTTTGGTGAACTAGAAGCTTAAAAGCATAAGCTTTTAAGCTTTAAACCGCAATTAGTCCAATTTTATACACTAAAGATTTTATATGGAAACAAAAGCGTTTTTGTGATATGAAAGCGTAAAATCGTAAGATTTTAAGTTTTAAAGCACGAATTTGACTGCATTAGTTTGATTTACGCTATGATCTACAGTCTACACTAGACCTGGTCTGCACATGTTGTTAGTGTTGTTAGTAGGTTCATGGTGCAACTTGGGAAGTAACATTGGCAGGCTGTGAAGAGGATATTTCGTTATCTTAAGGGTACATCTGATGTGGGGATTAACTTTCGAAGTTATTCAGATTCTGATTATACTGGAGATGTTGAGACGTGGAGATCTATGATCAGTTATGTATTCACTTTTGGGAGTTATGTGGTGAGCTGGAAAACAACTCTGCAGTCGGTAGTGACATTGTCTACTACTGAAGTAGTGTACATGGCGTTGACAGAATCGGCCAAGGAGGAAGGTTGAAGGGTTGGTTGGGTGATCTAGGTCTACATCATCATCAAACAGTGGTGTATCGAGTGCAATACATTTGGTCAAGGATCAAGTCTACCATGAGAGGACTAAGCACATGCTGCACATCTATGTGAGGTATCATTTCTTGCGAACATAGAAGAGATTAGAGTGACGAAGATTGGCACAGTGGACAATCTTGCTGACATGTTCACGAAGCCGGTTCCACATGGCAATTTCCAACACTGCTTGGACTTGCTGAATGTCCTGAGTGGGTGAATCCGTCCTAAGGGACGTTGATGGCAAGAGAGAGAAGGATCATAGTACATCAAAGATTTCATAAGGGAGTATTCAAGTCAAGGTGAAGATTTGTTGATATGACTTGAATCCGACTATCTTATAACAACTGGGAGTCACGGGGTATCACAAATTGTAGATCAACAATCAAATTGTCTAAATGTCACGTCACACAAATATCACAAATATTTATAGTTCAACAATCAAATTGCCACATCATAGTCAACTAACTATCAATCTGATGGAAAATTAACAACTTAACTATTGTTTTTTTTTTTTTTTTTAAGATTTGACTTCTATTTTGTTTAAATCAAAGATTTGTTTAATATTACAATATTTATCCAAAACAATTTGAGTAGGCGAGACAAACAAATACAAAGACCTTCCTTCCGAACTTTCTACGGCAACAGTCCAGTCCGGTAGTTCAGTAGATAGTAGATACTGTTAGATTAGATCCCTAAAATACCAAACTCTCTTCCAGAGCTTCGCTCGCCGGAGCAAAGAACGAAAACCATGGCGTTTCTAGGCATTGATTTTGGTTGCGCAATTGGATCTCTCCGCCACGGCCAGTTCCCTGACAAGGACTGCTTGCTTCCTCTCATCTCCAAGCTCCTGGGCTACGCCATCGTCGCTGCTTCCACTACTGTCAAACTTCCTCAGGTCAAATTTCCATCCTTCGATCCTCAACTTGTCTCCATGCATCTTCTTCTGAATCATTGAGCCGAAGAAGCAAGAATCTGTTATTTTGGGTTGATTGATTCCTCTCTAATGTGAATGCTGCAAAGTTTCAGTATCTGGTTAAAAATAATGAGCTGTGTCATCAGTCTGTATGTATTCAATCATAGGTGAGATATGGTTTTGACTTTGAAATTTGGTGATCCAATCTGTCTATGTTCTAGAATTGTAGCTCGGCTCTCGTGTTTGTGTTAGTTTAGGTTTTCCGTTTGCCTTCCTGCACTCATGGCTGTTGCTCTGCCCAGAAGCTTCTTAACTAGTTACGCTTACCTGTTCCTTGGACTCATAGGTGAAGTAGAGTTTTGACACTTAAGCTGTGATATAAGTAATTTCTCAGTAGATGACTTCAAGGTTAGAACCAAATTATCCAACTTTAACCTGCTATGGTGTTTATCTCCAGCTGCTTTACAATCATTGCCTGTGATTTTTTCTGATGTCTTTTCGTGCTATGATGCCTTTTCGATTTTTCTGGTTCGCTAGATATTGAAAATCTTGAAGCACAAAAGTGTGAGAGGGCTGAGTGTTGTTGCCTTTGAGTTAGAAGCAATTGGATACACGATTGCTCTTGCATATTGTCTTCACAAAGGCCTGCCATTTTCAGCTTATGGAGAATATGTATTTCTCTTGATCCAAGGTAGCCATTCTTTCTCTCCACAATTTTTTCTTGCTGAATCGGAGTGTTGTCTCTTTTTGTCCAGCTTTCTATTAATGGCTTATCCATCTTTTTAGTTTGTTCTACCGATTAGAACAGTTATAATATTATCAACATGCTAAATACCATGGCATCTGCTAATGTATTGCAGCGATCATCTTAGTTGCTGTTATCTACTACTTTTCACAACCTGTTGGGGCTAAGACATGGATCAAGGCATTAATGTATACCTTGTTCTAATCTCACTTCTAAAGTTGGATACCTGTTTTTAGTTCTACAATCTGTTGTCCACATTTCAACCTTCCTATAATATTTCAGATTCTCTGCAGTAGCACCAACTATTTTAGCCGGTCAAATCGATCCCATTCTTTTTGAAGCTTTATATGTAAGTCTCCATATCCGTGATTCTCCCCATTTGACACCCATCTTAGTATTCATCCATTTTCATCTTTTGATTTTATTGTTCTCCTGGATATATAGTCTGCAACCATATGCATAGAAGATGTTCAATAATCAATAAGCTTGTCTGTTTTTTGTTTGGGACATTTGAAAATTACATGATGTGTACAACATCGTTGCAGGCATCCCAGCATGCAATTTTCCTCTGTGCAAGAATTCCCCAAATATGGGCCAACTTTTCTGTAAGTTGGTATTATATTTTGGAAAGGAACTAACCCTTTTCATGTGCCTGCAAATGCAATTACGAGCACCGCTGGGGGATTTGACCATTTTGCTGTCTCTATGTTATTTTTCCAGAACAAAAGCACTGGCGAGCTTAGCTTCCTAACTTTTTTCATGAACTTCGGTGGCTCTATGGGTGAGTGGGTCATGTGAAAGTATATAGGCTTTGTAATGGTTGTGATGTTGGTTTATCCTATTTCATTGTTCTCATTCTTCTGCTGGGTTTTTTGCAGTGAGAGTATTCACCAGCCTACAAGAAAAAGCACCAACTAGCGGTATCATTTTCTAACATCCCCTTCTATTTGAACACTGTTTCAATTAAATCCTTCCTTTGTCACTTTGTGCAAGGAAGTTCTTGCTCCACTGGTTCTGAAGACTGAAATGGTATTGATTTTGTTCCTTTGTTCTTATGTACCAGTTGTTATGGGATCTGCACTTGGCGTGTTGATGAACGGAACCATCCTGAGTCAAATACTTATGTACCAAAAGCCCCAGCCAAAAAGAGAGAGGAAACAACAGTAGAGAATTTCTTTAAGAAAGGGTAATGCAGTTTATGATTTGGCGAAGTTGAGAAGGGCAGAGCGATTTCTATACGAATACATGTCAAGAGAAATCATAGCGGAATCTTCATATTTATGGTGGAGTTGAGTTGGTAAGTTCATGTTGTATTAACAAAAGAGTTTAGCAGATTAATTAGAGGTAGTTTTGAAAATCAGAACCTTAGGATGTTTGATCTACGAACTAGTAGAAACTAGAAAGTCTGTTCTTTCTTCTTTGGTCGTTTTCTCCATGTAATGGATGCTTCAAGCTGGCAATTTGCTTTGCCTCGCGAAAGGGAGTAAAAAAAAAGTAGATTACCAGTCAGTCAGCTTCTCGTCTTTTTCTTTATGGTTGTTTGAAAGCATGGAAAAGGCCGGTGGGAGGGAAAGCTACACTATGGCACGAGACTTCTGTTGGACTGCTTCCTTCCTTTTTTTCCCCCCTAGTTGGTCTTTGGTTTCTTCTCCTTACTCAGATTGGCGGATTATGTTTGAACATCGAGGTGAAAACTTAAGCGCTCTTCTTGTGTCGGATTTTAAAATCTTGGAATACGAAAGTGATGGATTTCGTTGTAAATTGTTTGAACTTTAGCAATTTGTAAGTGTGGATTGTGATGCTTAAGAGTTTAGAATTTTATCCTTTTTATGTTGGTGATTCTAGAAGTGAATTGTAATAAACAGGTTGTGATAGACATATCTTATTGCTCCAATCCGCCAATGATCTGTGATGCATGTATAGACTTTAAATATGACTAGAGGTATGATAAGAAATGTTCCAATTGTAAGAATCAACGAAAATATCTCATCCAATTAGTTACTTAATGTCTTGAATGTTGAATCTTTTGTTGCAGTCCCCTCTTAATAAATTTGAACAGGTCTTGTTGATAGGGGCAATCTGCCTAACAAGAGGTTAAAAAGCCCCAGTTGAATTTGATTCGATTTGAGCAACCCAAATTTAAAGATCAATGAAAGCAATAGGATGTTGGACGACACGGCAGCTTACCAATAACTATTCCCCAGCAGGTCTACCTAACTCTAATAAGTTGAGCCTAAAATGCTAACAGAATCACTCACATTTGCCACACAACCATCTTTTCCTGTTTTCAGACACTTTCGAAAGGCCAGAAGACCGTGTTTATGCTCCCTTAGCAGTCTAATTTACCATCATACTGCACGCAACACAGTTACCCAATTCTCGATCGAACGAGTGAGAAGTCATAAACATGTGCCTAATTGCTTATACATCGTTGCATAAAATCCAATTCAAGAGCAAAGCCAAATTGCTCCGCCGTGCCACAATAGGAAAAAAGAAGATTCAATGGAGAACTATTCTCTTCAACACATAAACAAGGGTCTGCCTTACTTGTACAATACATTACCTGGCAAAAGCTGAAGGAAAACGAAGATCCCCACTTTCTTTCTTTGTCCACTTTTCACCTTTCTACAAAGCTCCCCCCACATGGCCAAAACTTCTCCCTTACGCTTCCATCTTGGGTCTCACTGCGGACCAATTCAAGCAGATGATTTATGGACATGAAGAAGTCATTAACAGCACTCAGGGAGCCTTGCCACATACTCATTAGGGTAAAATAAAATCATAAACAGAACCCTTAAAACAAGTTGAAAGCTTGCTGTTAGCTTTGTATCGCTTCTCGTTTGACAGTAAATCGAGATTCAATTACGAACACAATGAAACAGCAACACAGTTTCCAGTTTCGGCTTACATACCCAAAAGATAGGATAGAATCAGATGATACGAAACGAAAAACATATATTAAAAAGGAGAAGGAAAAGAAAAAAAGCACAAGCATGTCAACAGTTCACTAAGTCGCTTGCTCGTGATGTTCTGAAACTTCCGTCTCAAGAGACATTGCATTAGCTTTGAGACCCGCCATTGCCACTAGACCATCTTCTCAAAGTGCATGCCACTATACCCCTTCCATTCAATAGCCCTAATCTCGCTTTGAATGAAGTTGAACGCGCGGTACTCCTTGATCCACCAGCAATCGAAGGTGCTACAGGCGGCATTTGATTCAGCCCTGCTTGAGGAGCAAACTCAACCCCATTATCCTGTACCCCACCACCACCGCCATCACTAGCATTTGCATCTGGAAGCTCCACTTCCCCGCTGTCCAAATTGACCGCTAGTGATCCTCTACTCGCTCTCAACCATTCTGCACCATCACAGGTCACCCCTCTGCACTTCTTCACCTTCACTTTCACCAAGTTGGGGCACCCAGTCGCAAGGGCTTTCATCCCTTCGTCGGACACAAGGCAACTCTTGATGCAGAGCTTCTTCAGTGCCACGCATTTCGCTGCAATGCAGGAGATCTCTGCATCACCAACAGTATCACTCCCGCACAAAGCCAGTCGCTCTAGGTTTTGGCAGTTGGAAGCTAGGGTTTCTAGACTGATCTTGGTGGGATTGACTCCAATGAGAACCAATTCTTGCAGGTTAGGGCAGTGTTTAGCAACTGCTATCAATCCATCGTCGCCGATATGGTTGGCCTTCCATCCATCAATGTGAAGCTTCCTCAAGAGCTTGCACTGCTCTGCAACTAATGTCAAGCCGAAATTCGTGCACTCTGGGGTTTTAACCAGGTGCAGGATTTCCAAACTGAGGCAAGTAGATAATGCCGTCAGACCAGCGTCACTAACCTGCAGCCTCTCGAGATGGATCTCGACCAACCCGGAAACCCGATCGGGAATCACCCGCAGAACCTTATCCCAATCCCCAGAGCATCTGAAAAGCTTCAAGGTTCTAAGATTCTTTGACCCGATTATAAGCGGACCAAAACACTGTCCGTTGTATAGCTCCTTTAAGCAAATCGTTTTGAGGGAAGACGCGGCCAAACCGGGGCCAATCGGCTCCGCCGCAGCTCCGTCGGTGATTCCGCGGAGCCGCTTCACGGACAGTTCTTCCAGAGATGCACAGTTGTTAAGGATGGCGTTCATACCTTTGGCGCCGAAGTTGCAAGATCCACAGGACAGCTTCTTCAACGACCTGCAGTTCTTGGCGAAGGCTTCCATCCCGGCGTCGGTGATCTCGCGGCACGACCGGAGCTTGAGGCGCGTGAGGTTCCTGCAGCGGAGCGAGATCATCGCGAGGGCCTCGTCGCCGATGCTCGTGGATCTGCGCTCGCATTTTAAGGCGAGTTTGGTGACGGAATCGAAGCGAGTGAACAGCTTCGGTACCCTGTGAAGAAGATCCGCCTCCGCGTTGAGAGAGAGACGGTGGCGGCTCTGGCCTTCGATCATGAGCCACCGGCGGCAGACCAGGGAAGACCTCTTCCTGTCAGCGGAGCTTAGCGATTGAAAAATGACGGCCAAGCACTCATCCGGCAGATCTGAGATGTAATCAGGCGCTTCGACGACCATGAAATCTTCGACGACGAAGTCGTCGCCGCCTTTAATCGGCGAGGAGGAGGAGAAGGACGATTTAAACTTGAAGCGATGGCTGAGGTTGGAGTCCCGGCGGCTCACGACGGCAGCCGTGGAACTTGACTGGCCCATAAAAGCGGGGTAGAACGGGCGGTGGAGATAGATTTCAGCCCTAGGAAACCTGGTATACAGTTATTATCATACGCGCCACCATGGTGGAGCTGTGGAAGCTCCGGTTACTCCGCCCGGTGTTACGCTCCTTCCTCAACAGAGAGATAGATGGATAGATAGAGAGCGCTGTTTGGTTGGCCCTTTTCCTTTTCTTTTCTTCGTGATGTACAGAACGCGGATCTCAAACTTGAATTAATTTCAGCTTTTCCAATAATTTTTTGCCCTTTCTACTTGCTTTAAATAAATTTATATTTTCCTTTCTAATTTCTCCACCCCATTTTTAAGGCGATTTATTATTTATTGCTGCTTCTTTGTTTGAATGGAACAGCCTCCTATTTCTTTCTCTCACTCGATGGGTTGTTATAAAGAGGTCGCTTCCCCACCGTCCCTGTGGTGAGGTCTGCTGTTTTGTCTTCGTTACTGAGTCATCGTGACCTTTTGTTTTGTTTTTTATGGCCAATCTTTTGCGTTTTGGAATGGGAGTTTGTAGTGTTGTGTAATCGAAATGTGGGGTTCTCCGCACGCAATGATTTCTTCTAGGCCAGGTTTGTTTTTTTTTTTTTTTTTGCGTTGCATCCAAGGGTGGTTTTCATTTCCTTATAAAATTTTGTTTACCGTTATTCCACAATATCCTACTACTATGCTAACAAATAGATTTGGGGTTATATATCTTCATTTTTGTGTTTTATGTTTGTCTTCCATATACAAAATCTCAAGTATAGGTGTAAAAATATAGCCCGATCCGATTAACCCGCCGGATCAACCCGACCCGCAATTCGACCGCAACCCGAATTGACTAAAAGTCAACAACCCGTAACCCGCCCGACCCGCAACCCGATTGACCCGCAACCCAACTAACCCGCAACCCGACTAACCCGCAACCCGATTAACCTGAACCCGACTGACCCGCAACCCGACTTACCCGCAACCCGATTAACCCGAACCCGATTGACCCGAACCCGACTAACCCGTAACCCGACCGACTCAACCCGAATTTCATCTAATCCACTTGAATACTTATAAAAATATACAATACATAGTTTTTCAAAATAAAGTTTTTCATTCTAAACTTAAGTAAAATTATTTTTTCATTTCGTATAAGAAATTTTAAAAATATGAATCTCACTTGATATTACGTATTTTAAGAAAATTACAAAAATTGAAACATGAATGTCACTTGATATCATGACAATATTAATACAATATATAAATTAAAATTTTGGTTAATTTAACTATTCAATAAAATTATCAATTAAATATAAATAAAGTAAAGTAATGTATTTGGTAATTTGAAGTTTTTAAAAAGAAGAGGGAAATTTTGGTGTATTCAAGTTTTTGGGAAGAGAAAGAAGAGTGAAATTTGGTTCTTTGAATTTTTAGAAAAGAAACAAGTGGGAATTTTGGTGGTTTTGATATGTGGGAAGAGAAAGAAGTGGGAAAATTTGATTTTTTTGATTATGAAAGAGAAATAAGGAGGGAAACTTTTGACTTTTCAAGTTTTTGTAGAAGGAAAGAAGAGGGTAATTTGGTTCTTTCCATTTTATGGAAGAGAAAGAGGAGGGAAAATTGATTTTTTCTAATGTATGGAAGGAGAAAGAAGGAGGGAAATTTTAGTATTTTTGTGAAAAGAAAGAAGGAAACAAATTTGGTGTTTTCAATTTTTTGGTTTTTCATAATTTTAGCTTTTCAAATATGAATCTTTAACTTTTATATGGAGGGCATGACTAGTTAAAATGATTCTTATATGCTTTGAAGGCTAATATGTATATATGTATGTAATTTTTATGGGCTAATAAATAAATTAACCATTAGTTACAACAATTTATACTAAACTTGATAAGTAATCTTTGACGGTTCGTTGTTTAGGATATAAAGTATATGGTTAGGGTATAAGGTATAAGGTACATATGGTTTATGGTGTATATGGTTAGGGTATAAGATATTGATGGTTTTGACGGTTCTAAGTGTTTTATTAACATATGTTCACTAGAAGTCATTTGAAGTCTTTAATGGCAGGAGATCCCTTTTTAATTTATGTTTATGGTACGTGGTTAGGGTACAAGGTATGTGGTGTAAAGTATATGATATATGGTTAGGGTATATCAATTAGCAAATATCACTTTTTATCTATGTTTTGAAAATCAAAGTATGAATTTCACTTTTAAATTAACTATACTAGCAAAATCACAACTCAAGGACATATGGTTAGGGTATAGGTTATGTGGTTAGTGTATAATGTATTGATGGTTTAGGGTATACAATCAACAACATATACTAACTTAATATTGTTGATTGAGGGTAAAGCTAAGTGTATATGATATATGCTATTGAGGAAGTTATGATTGAAGTCACAATAATTTTACTAAATTTGATAGCTAATCTTTAATGGTTCAATTTTTAGGATAATTCAAAAAAATTTACAAATAAGTCGTTTGGCAACACTTTACTAAAGTTATTTGGGCAATGAGTTATTTTGAAATAACTCCTTCTATCACTATGCTTTTGCCAAATACCACACGCCAAATACCAGATTTGCATGGTTATACTAAACGAGATACTTTAATCCAATTACTACTGAATTAATACTAAAATATCAAATAAACAATTAACTGTGTCTTTTGGTTGCAAATATTGATATCACCATTACTATTAGCTATAATACTTTACCAATTATGATTAATTACATAACAAGTTTGCAAGTCATACAAATTGATTTAACATTTTGACTAGTTTTTTTCAAAAAAATAAAGTATATATATATACGAGGTAGAAATAAATTGGTTAAAAGGTTGAGAAAATATTTTAAATTAGTATAATAAATTGTGTAAGTTGGTAATGAGTAATGAGTTAAGTTACTTGATGCGCTGGCCCGAACAACCTGAAACCCGATCCGCCCGCAACCCGCCCGACCCAAAACCCGATGAACCCGCAACCCGATTTGCCCGCAACCCGATTGAATCCGAACCCGATGAACCCGCAACTCGACTAACCGGCAACCCGTTTGAACCCGAACCCAATGAACCCGAACCCGATGAACCCGCAACCCGACTAACCCGCAACCCGTTTGAACCCGAACCCCATTGAACCCAGCCCGAACCCGCTCGAACCCGCCCGATTGACACCTATAATCTCAAGTGACCTTCATGTTTCAATTTTTGTAATTTTCTTAAAATACGTAATATCAAGTGAGTTTCATATTTTTAAAATTTCTTATACGAAATGAAAAAATAATTTTACTTAAGTTTATAATGAAAAACTTTATTTTGAAAAACTATGTATTGTATAGTTTTATAATTATTCAAGTGGATTAGATGAAATTCGGGTTGAGTCGGTCGGGTTAGTCGGGTTCGGGTTAATCGGGTTGCGGGTTAGTCGGGTTGCGGGTTAGTTGGGTTGCGGGTCAATCGGGTTGCGGGTAGGGCGGGTTACGGGTTGTTGACTTTTAGTCAATTCGGGTTGCGGGCGGGTTGTGGGTCGGGTTGATCGGGCGGGTTAATCGGGTCGGGCTATGTTTTGACACCTATATTTGGGTGGGTGTGTTTTAAATTTCACGCTTTCAAGTTTAGCTGTTGGCTCCAATGTTTAGGAAACCCTACTCTACCGGTCGATCCGATCAGGAATACTAGATACCGAAATTAAAATAAAGGTATACGGTTTTAGCGGCATGAAATGGTTAAATCACGACTTTTCAATAAAATACCCTATCATTGACTTTTCGGATATGACCTCTAGTACGGTTTCACAAACCTTGGTTGGTTCGTCAATTATTTGCTCGAGTAGAAGAATGAGAAGGGTTACCCAAGCGGCTACGGGTTATCATGTCGGTCCGACATTCTGTACGTAGGATGTCTTAGAATGTAGTTGCTCTTCTAAAGAAAGAGGGAGGGATTGGGTTTAAGGATCTGTACAGCTAGAACAAAGCATGTTTGGCTCGGTTGTTATGGAAATATCCTTTCATATCAAGAATCTATATGGACTTTTTGGATGAAAGAGTATAGACTGAGAAACATCACTATGTGGGAATTACTTTGTGCAATGCGGTTTTATCTAGTCAGCCCATCGATTTATTTAGCCTCTTTAAAGCTCCAAACTCTGTCATTAATCGACTTGAGAAAGTCCAGAGGGACTTTCTTTGGTCCGGCGGACAGGATGAGAGGAAGATTCACCTGGTCGGTTGGAACATTTGTAAAAGGCCCAAGAGTGCTGGCGGCCTTGGTATTGCAGATCTCAAATTCAGGAATCAGACCCTTTTGTGTAAATGGTGGTGGCGCTTCGCCCTTGAAAGAAATGCTTGGTGGCGTGAACTCATTAACCTCAAGTTTCCGAATGGTAAGTCAGAATGGATGTCTGGTTATTCTCGTGGTCCCGAAGGTGGCGGCCCTTGGGCGCAGATTCTAAAACTTAGAAACACCTTCTGGAATTTTGCGCGGGTCGAGCCGGGCTCAGGAAGTGGCATTTCCTTTTGGCACGATGTATGGATCCGGGCCGAACTCTTGCTGTTGATTTTCCACGGGTGGCCGCTGCGTCGTCTTCGCCGAATTGCAGAATTGCCGAGGTGGTCAGTCACCATGGAGAGGATATATCTTGGGATATTCCGCTGAGTCATAGTTTGAGAGGGTGGGCTGAGAGAGAGCGTCAAAACCTTCTTCTTTTCCTTAATAATGTGTCTGTCAACAGTCTTTTTGCAGTACTCACTCACTCTATGGCGAGCTCATCAAGATCAGTTCGCCCGCACCTGGAGACTTCACGGCCATGGTGATCTGGCAAGATGTTATCCCCCACAAGATATGCGTCTTCAAGTGGATGGTTTTTCAGAAGAAGATCCTCACACATGACACCCTCAAACGGCGAGGATGGTCCTTTTCTAGCCGGTGTGTGCTTTGTGGCGTGTTTGAGGAGACTATCCACCATCTTTCCTCGATTGCAGCTTTTCCCGGCAAGTGTGGCGTGTTATGAGTTGCTTTGTTCAGCTTCAGACTCCCTCGCATGATATCACTTCCACCATTTTTCAGTGGCCGAAGAATACAGCCTCAAGTCCGCAGAACTGGTGCACTAAAGTCTTTCTCCATGCTTTTTGTTGGCACATTTGGATGGAAAGGAATGGCCGGATCTTTAGAGATGATCTGCATTCGGTCCATGGCACCTGCTTTAGTATCATCTGCAGCATTCACGACTGGCTGTGCGCGCCGAACAAAGTGGACAGGGGGGTGGCTGGATATTGGCGTCTTTATGCCAGAGGTCGTTTATCCTCAGGCCTCTAAGGCTGATGCCGATCCTGCTTCCCAAGCCCCCTCATCTTCGTCGATGGTGGCTTTGTTGCGTGAATGATTCCTTTGTTTGTTTGGTCTTGGACTTTTCGTAGTCTTTGTGCTTAGTGTTCGAGGTCTTAGCCGGTTGTTGTTTCTGCTTTGGCCTCTCCCATTTCTGTTACTTTTTAGTTTGGTGGAGGTCTCTCTAGGTACCTGAGCTGTACTCTGTAGCCTCCTTTTATTTCCTTTCTTTTATTAATAAAACTTATATCGCCTTTATAAAAAAAATAAACATCACTATGTGGGAGGCCTTAGCCTTTGGATCCTGGACCTGGAAGAAGGTTCTTAAGTTCAAGAGAAGTGGTTGGAATGATTCAAGTAACAAAACATGGAGTTAAGTGGGATGGAGAATTAATGATGAAGTACAAGTTTAAGCAGGTTTGGAGACCCTCCTCCCAAGGCATGATAAGAAGAGCTGGTATAGTCTTATCTTATTGGTCTCTTGGTTAGTGGTTTCGGACAAAATTAATGTGTTTGATAAAATCATAGATGGAAGTCTGGAGTTAATAAATATTGTGCTTTGTGTTTGAAGTCTGAAGAAATTCGTGATCACATATACGTTGGTTGTGAATATGTGGTAAGGGTTTTACTAGTGTTTCCTCCTATTTGGAGATACCAGCCACATGGAGGATGACAACAAGGCCTAGAGGAACTGAGGAAGCAGTCTCAATGCTTTAAAAGATGCAAAATTGGATGCTCCTGTGGAATTTGGTAGTAAGCAAAGTATGAAGAGTTAAGCTGAAACCCCGCGATGTTGTTTTGAAGCTAAATGAGATATTAGATATGAAGATTGAAGGCACTCCTGGTTTAGAAATAGTTATTTCAGTTAAGCCTCTTTGGTTTATGCTAACATGTCCAATAGTTGTGTAATGTTATATACTTGATTGAGTTAGCTTGCTAGAGAAGTGTAGACCTCACCATTATTTGATGGAAAAAATTGCTTATTCATAAAAAATAAACTTAAATTATAAGTTTGCCCTTTCTTATTCCTCCTCTATTCTTCTTTATCGTATGCCATTAAGCTTCTCCTATGTTCTGGGTTTCAAACCCAAAACTCATCCAAACCATTCAAATTTTTTATAGTTCAATGGAGGTGTGTCAATTACAATTATCGAAACTGCTTCCGAGGTTGCTAGTTTGATTTTTTTTTGTACCGACGACACCTAGGTCAGCGGCGTAGCCAAGATTTCACTTAAGGCGGGTCTAAAATCAAATATATAAAATCAATTTTATTAATGTTTATAGTGACCACGATGTGTTTTCATATCTTGGCCAATTTCTAAATGCATTCATCATCCAACCTATCTAAGATGTCTCTCTCAATATGTCCTACAAAAAATAATCCAACCCTTCATTACTCATTCAACTTTGTATTATGTTCTTCACGTAGTTCATTGCAAAAAATACTTTTTGAACACTTACAGT